TCGGACGAATAAATCTTGTTTGTATTTTGTAGATAATAATACTTTGTTTCATAATAAACAATTTGTCAAGTGTCATTTATTTACTGGTAATAGTGCATGTTTCAGTCGGGCAAATCTTGATTAATATTTGATACGCTGTTTTTTGCATATTTCATGCACATCCAGAAATATGCTCCCGATTTTAAACATTAATATCTCCGTGAATTTTTAAGTGAAATACAACTGTAATATATCAAAATCTGAGTTAGTCCTTCCTCTATTTGATGCAAGTTATTTCTCTTTAAAATCTTTACTTGTTTAGAAGTTATTAGGAATCAAACCGGAGTACTTTTTTTTTGGGACACCCGGTATATATACATGCAAAGCTCACTTCCCTTGTGGTTGTTTGAGCACTCTGGCTCCATTACATGCACTCTGCGTATGTCTGGATGCGTCGATACCTTCGTGTTGTACCACATGCGCTTGGTGAGAGCAAGCTCATATGTATAAATACGGAGGTATCATGTATCTAGTCGTGTACCAAGCTGCACTGACGAGGCGTTGAACGCCAAAACATGCATCATGTCTGCAGATTGTACTATTACGCTCCTTCACTTCGGTGTTGTTGAGCACTCTGCGGAGTTGTTAATGGGTGACTAATTAGCGATAATGCAAAGCTCACTTCGCTTGCGGTTGTTTGAGCACTCTGGCCCATTACACTCTGCACATGTCTGGATGCGCTGATGCCTTCGTGTTGTACCACATGCGCTTGGTGAGAGCACGCTCATGTGTATAAATACGGAGATATCATGTATCATATATATATATATATATACAGGGTGTATCAAAAAAAGTAAGACAATTTTGAAATTGCTCTCAATTCCACAATTCTGCTCATGAAATGTAACTTTTGATATGTATGGATTGCTTGAGTCCTTAAATTATGGAAAATATTAAAAAAATTGAAAACAGTAAATTTGCTATCCAGGGGAGTGGTCAACTTTTGCTCCCCTAAAAGTGGCTTGCGCACGGAAATAACAAACGGTATTCTTTATTTGAGAAACTAGCTATTTCCCTCGGGTGCAGACATTAAGTGTATAATGTTCGGACAAATTCTTTTGTTCTTATCGTTTCTCTTTGTCTTTTCTCTATAATAATCTTAAACTTAATAATATAAATTATTATACTGATTACCTCTTCGCTTCTCCCAGGATTTTGTTGAAATCTGTGGCAGGCATTGTTGACACCAGTCGTTGGGATGGCTTTGATTTTGGGCAAAGCAATGAGCAGAAATGAAACAGGCATTGGTCTTTGTTAATTTGCAAAACAAAAAGAACTTTTCAGTACATACAGCAAAAATGTGATTAACTGGAAATAAATTGTGCTTTGATTTTAGCCTTAAAGGTCTGATTCCACGAGCACTTTTTCTCGGCGAAATGCGAAACTTTTCACGAAATAAATACGTGTATTCGCAATCAAGGTAAATTAGGCTTGGCGAGAAAAAAATTCGTTTCGTCAGTAAATGGAAGTCCGTCCAACTCACTGCAAAAGTAAACAAAGTGGCCAAATTCAATAGAATCACTCATGTGCTCACAATTTCGGGCAAAGAATTCGCCGTCGTGGAATCAGGCCTTTAAGGCGGTTTTCCACTAAGCGAAATTTTTCGACCGAATCGAAATTTCTCTTTGTTTTATGAGCTCTCGAGCAGAACTAATTGTAAAAAGACAAAGAGAAATTTCGTTTCGGTCGAAATATTCCGCCTCGTGGAATCAGGCCTTTAGGTTCAGTTAAATATCCTGTAAAGGGAAATCTAGGGGAGGGGGGCAGTCCCCCGATCGTTTTCCCAATTTTAACCCTGCGCTTATAAGTTCACCTTAAGTTGACATCCCTTAATGGTATTATTACATTCCTGGCACACGGAATCATACGTGATAAACATCATGGACTCTTTAGAGACGTTTACGCGATTATTGGACACCGCAATCTTTAGTCCAGCAGCTGTTATCCCTTCGTTGCCATAGTCACCAATGTTGACAGGTGATTCAGGGAGAAAACATTTTACTTCATTGATGTCCATCATCAACCCAGGATATAACGAGATGGAATTGTCAGGGATCCACACTGATTCAATAACCTTTAACAGAAATCATGGATTAGAAATTTGCTCTGCATGCGCGTTCTTATTGGTTACTTGAACAGTATATATAGATTGATAGCACTATTGAAATATTAAAATTGACGAGTATACTAGAAATTCGTAAAGGGTAGAAAATGTTCTGATCATTGTCTAGTTTGTACTTTTATTGGTCGGTGAAGTACTTATTTGGAAGCACTTTTTTAATTGGATTTTTCTAATAACTGCTGCCCATAATAATCCATGATACCCTAATTTTTTTTGCCTTAATTCTTTAAGTCATAAACAACTTCCCGCCCAGACTAACTTTTGCTGGACATGCAGTTGGACTTGCTCCAAGTCTACCTCTCAAAAAGGTTTTTATTCGCGATATCTCGCCGCCCGCCCATTTTACAAAATTAATCTTGCCCGCATTTTGGCGGGCTCTTTATACATCCCGAATAAAATCTCTTTGAGAGGCAGGCTTGAAGCAAATACACAGGACAGTGTAAATTTGCACGTATATTTCTTTGTTATAAAAAATTATTTTGTGTTTTTGTTTTTGGTCAAAGAGTGTAAACACTAAACAGCACTGCTGGCGTTATAGCTGGCCAAAATTTTAAATAAACATTATCTGCATGCTCGTGTTCGAAGTTAGAAATATCGCACTTTCAACGCGTACTTTTCTCATGACTTGGTTCGTTGAAACGCACATTGAATAAAGAGCATCTATTGAGATATTTTTCAGGAGGTTTACCACTAAGAATGCGAGTATTATGTGTTTTATATTTTAGCTAACTAAGATTACTTGACAACACCAGGGCGCTGTAAAAACAGGGTGTTTCACAACTGATGCAACATACCTTTCACCGATCATTTTTGACATGTTTTCGCTCGCTACTTTGACAACTCTATAGGGTTAGGGTTAGGTGATGAATAGAATTGAGATCATCTAAGAGACCTTTTTTTTTGGGGGGGGGGGGGGAGG